ACCGGTGCCCGAGAAAGCCTCGCCGCCATGGATTTTGTGAGTGCAATGTGTGCGGCATGTATCATCGCCCGTTGGGTCCGCTGTCGTTCCAGATTGGAATGCTAGATTGATCGGGGTAGCGGTGGGATGCATACGCATTCAAGTCGTTGCATTTGTAACAAGCGAAAGGTGGAAAGTAGAACGGAGGTGGAACGTGACTAAAATGCGAGTGCAAGTAGATTGGCCGAGAGCGTGCTCAATTACCTAAAGAGATTGAAGTGAATACCGGGCCTCCCAAGACCCCTTCCATCCTGGTGCGGAGCCGAACCCAGACAAATTCGGCGGTACAAGCACAACCAAATGTCTGTGCATTGCGGACTTATCGAGAGGGGAGGAATACCAAACGGCAATACCGAGTAGAGGGCGGTGGAATCCGATACTGGTATGCGAGGCCGGGGCTAAGTGTGATGGGAAAGTCAGGCCAGAAAATAGTAACATTACGAACCTCCCCGCCAGGTTCGGATCTATCGTCGCGAGGCCGAGACCAGTCTCGAAAGTTGATATTGCTTTCAACCATTGTTGAAATGCCCCAATCAGGGTGAGTGTGACCAGAAATGAAAAGGAGACTGGGGTATCATAACCATCACCTTCTCAGATGTCGTCAGCGCCCAGGTTTCTCGGGGGGTTTTTTCCCAGAAGGCAATTTCTCCTGGCTTTAGATTCCACCACTCTCCGCCCGAGAGTTAACCTGAAACACCACTGTCTTCTCGGAGGGGGGGGGGGGTATTTGAGGAGATGGAAGGACAGGAGAGCTGATGACGTTTCAGAAAACTATGGCTGGTAATCGCTACCGATCCAGCCATCAACATTGAGAAAATGCGGCGGTTGAATAAGCGAGTACTTGGTGGTGCTGTTGTGGAGTGGTTTCTGAAGCCTTCTCCCGATATCATGGCCTTAATGAGGTGAATGAGTCTGAGGATAGGGAGAGAATTCTCCCGGGACTGCGGTCAAAGGCTGAATAGAAGTCGCACAGGGAGGGTAGCATAGTACTCGAGTGCCGGTACTTGTGCTTTGAGTACGGGTGTTCTGTGAAAAGATAGCCCGTGCCAATCACCCCAACCCGCAAGAGTGCGGGGCTCCCGAGCTACGCCGAGTTTCATTCGCTACCTAAGATCCTGCTGGCCTCCTACCATGGGTAGCGGTGTCAGTCCAAGTACGGTAGCAGTTCCAGGAAAACCGAGCCATTCAGCCCCACGGTTGAAAAAGGTATCTCCTAGCTTGCTTTTCGCGTGAAAAGAATTTCAGTCAGCATAGCGCCTTCTCGCACACGAAACTAAAAGACTAACTCCCAACGCAGCGCCCAAAAGGACTCTTTTCCGACAATAGGGCTGGATTCCCCATGAATGGCACATGTAAACTAAATATATAGTAAGCGAACTTGCTTTGCGCTTGGCGGCTACCTGTCTTGCCATGCGCAGCCTTGCCCCGCCCGCGATAAGAAACCCTTCTCCTCCACGCCAGAGGGGTATGATCATGATGCATTCCTGTGCCTATCATACACTTCAGATACTGCACCATCCTTGGCCGAGACTCACTTTAGACTGCAGCCCGCTTTCAAATTACAGCGAGCTCGCACCCCGCTTTCCAAGTATGGCCAGACGCGCATGACTCTTTCCTGCGGTTGAAGCAAAATTAAAAAAAATAAAACTGAAAAGCGGGCTGGAAAAGGGTTGAAAAATCTTGCAGTTCACCGGATTTATCCCCCCTTTCTGCAGGTTGTTTTGGAATTTCCTCATTATCTCATAAAGGGCCAAAAGTGAGGTATTTCTTTCTTTGCATTTCACCAGCGCGATCAAGTGCATTGTCTTGAAAAGGGCCGTCTGCGGATTCCGGTATCGCCCCTTCAGACTCAGTGCGACTGCCACTTAGGTGATCATAAGAGGAAATGTGTTGATAGAAACTTCCCTTTTGGGAGAGGATTTCGCAAGGCAAAGTTGGACATGGCGGTAGCCGGGAGGATGACAGGTACTGTACTTGAGTACTGGTAGTGGGGGGAGGCGAACACGCTGTGAACCCGGATGTGTCCATAATTATTAGAAAATGGGGTCACATTAGAGAGGCTTGAATGGGCCAAAAGGAATGGTTTTCTGATAAGTTATTTGAGAAAACCTTTCCCATACCCTCCGGCCCGTTGCATACCTTTCCCATACCCTCCTTGGCTAAAACATACCCTCTGGAAACAAAACTATGACCCCCAACGTACAGACCTCCATAGTCCAAGCGATAAAGTTTAAATGCTTTCCCTGGCAACCCACTCGGATAGAGCATAGGAGAAACAAAACAAAGAAGAGAAAGTATAGGGGTATTTAATGTAGAATCGTAGGAGTTCTCATTGAATGGAATAGTAGTGAATACCAAATTACCTACGAGTACCAGATACAATTAGCAAAGCACCACGATAGAAAATGACCATACCGATTGAAGAAGGAAGATACTTTGTGTCTTTTGGGAAGCTGAAAGAGGCAATTGAATCATGGGCGATTGAAGATCATTTTACTTTCTCAGTAGTAAAGAAGGATATGAGGTGGGCGGATTATCGTTGTCGAGCACGTACTATGGGCTGTCCATGGAGGGTATTTGCATCAATAACAATTGATGGAGAGCTTCAGGTGAAGAAAATCATCAGTTCACATACCTGTATTGCAGCTCCGGTCGCCACCCGCGAAGTAGCAAATACACAAAACTGGCTTCGGAGAACTGTCCCACAACACTTGTTTGTCACCAAAGCAACAAAACCGATCGAGATAGTAGAAACTATTCAGATGCACTATGGTGAGCAGGTCAACTATGAGGCAGCCAGACTTACGAAAGCTGGCCTAATTGCGGATCGGGTAGAACACCAACGCGAGCACTTCCACAAAATACTGTCCTATATACAACTACTCCACCAGCATAACGAAGGATTATATACTGATCTTCATACAACCACGGATGAGAATGGCCATCATGATCTGATCTTTCAGCGTCTATTTATTTGCCCCAGGCAATCCAGGGAGTCCTTTCAATTGATGAGAAAATTTATGGCTGTTGACGGCACTTTTCTGAAAGCCAGATTTGTGCAAACTCTATTGTTGGCTGTAGGTATTGATGCTAATGGTAATATTCTTTTACTTGCATGGGGGATTTTTGAGAGTGAGAATGAGGCCTCGTGGAGGTACTTTCTTGAGCATCTCAAAAAGGCAATTCCTGAGTCTGAATGCATGACTCTGATTAGCGATCGGGATAAGGGTCTGCTGGCTGCAGATGTGGTAATGGGAAATAGAGTTGCGCGTGCCTTTTGTTGCTTTCACTTGAAGGAGAATTTTTATAAGCGATTTACACAAGGTCTGGAGCCATACTTTTGGCAGATAGCACATGCAAAAATGAGTGATAGTTATGAAGCAGCTGTTTCTGAACTCCGGGAGTTAAGTGGTTCAGCTGCTAACTATCTTGCCGGTATTGATAAAGCTCTTTGGGTTACACCCTTTTTCCTAGGTCAGAGCTACGGCCATAAAACATCAAACATTGTCGAATCTAGTATGAATAAGGTACTAAAGCAAGAACGAGAGCTTCCGATCCTCGACCTCCTCAATGAAATTTGGCTATATATGATGAATCAACGAGCGCAACGATACCAGACAGCCTGTACTCAGGAGCCACAACAAAATTGGTCAGACTTTGCACTTGGTCAACTTACGATATCACGTTCCTGGACACGAAGAAATACTGTCAACATGGCTAATGATAGATTATTTATGGTTCAGCAAATAAACAATAAGCAGTTTATTGTTAATCTTGAAGCCAGAACTTGCACATGTGGCCACTACCAGGAAAATGGTATCCCATGCGGACATGCTCTAAGTTCAATTTACCATCTTGGTCAATCAGCAAATACCTATATCTCGGATGCATTTTCACTTACCACCCTTCGAAACACCTACAGAAGCAACTTTAATCCTATTGTGCTTGCGGATCTTGACAGTTTTACACTTAACCCACAACCAGTTCCTCCACCTTGCCTTTCCCCGTCAAAGTTACGTGCAAAGCTGGGACGACCAAAGGTTAATCGTGCTATGCGTCCTAGCTACCGAAGTCGAATCACACATGCCCGAAGCAATATGACCCCTATTCCGGAAGCTGAACACCCCGGGCCAGTGGGCAAACAAACCTGCCAGAACTGTGGTCTCTCTGGGCATAATCGCCGTACTTGTCTACATCCCAGACTTGAGCTTCTACTTTAGTCTTATTTTCTTTACTTTATTTCCTTAAGTTTTTTTTATTTTTCTTTCATTCATGTTTGGATATTGGGAGAAGAGAGGACTGGGTCGCGCCCTTTGAAAGTCAGCGGTTGTGGTGGTTGGACGGGTCGCGCCGTTTTTTTTTTTTTTTTTTTTTCATGGAAAGTGTTTTGACTTTATCGCTCGGACTATAGAGGTCTGTACATTGGGGGTCATAGTTTTGTTTCCGGAGGGTATGGGAAAGGTATGCAATGGGCCGGAGGGTATGGGAAAGGTTTTCTCTAAGTTATTTACTTGCTGCAAGGTGGGTTAGGGTTATAAACTACAGTTTTGCGGGCTTTCTGGTATGAGACCCTACGGTTCGGTAGAGTACAATGGATTAACAAACTGCATTTTAATTGTACTATACGGCACATTATCATGAATTTTCTCTTTAATGGGATACCTGTGCGAACACTAACTTGTTGATTTACTCGTTCCATTGCAAAACGCGACGCGCGCAGTGAGAAAATCACCCGCACTTGATTCGCGATGTATCCAGCAAAGGAAATCCGATCTCTTAATAGCACCAAACCATGACCATGGAGGCAAGTCTGATGGTTGGCTTACAGTTATTCCGGCTGGGGCCGGTCGTGCAGCGGCTGTGTGAATGTGGATGCGCTGGAATTTGGGAGCCCCGCTCTCAGAGATCTGGACCTTCTCTGCCGAGATACCTTCCACAAGAAGCTGCTGTTTCCCACCTCATCTTTCCACCCCGCTGTCGAAAAGCATAGCTCACAAGTCCCGGAAGCCACAAGGACTATCCACCTCAAAGCTGAGCGCCGATTTTTGCCCATCCTTGGCTACCGCTGCTAAAAGATAGCGAGCTATCATAGCTACACTCTTACACTTTTCCTCTCGAGCGAACAACATTCGTGAAAAAAGAAATGGCAGAGCCCTTCTCCATAGCTGCCAGCGGTTTGGCCGTCATTCACCTCGGTGTGAAAGTTTACCAGCTTTGCTATGAGTACTGCGAAGTAGTCAAAGAGAGCCAACAAGATTTCAAGAAACTAGGAGACGAAATCAAGAGTATTGACAAACAGCTGAACGAGATACAGAGCCTTGCTGTGCAGGGCGATAGGAAAAACCCGCGATATCCCGAGCTCCTTGAATGGACGAAGAACGATAGTTTGAAAGGCTATCAGGCTGCCCTGGAGGAGCTGAAGGACAAGTTAGATGTCCCGGGATGGAGGAAAGCCTCCAGGAAATTACTTTGGCCAGTTCATAAGCCAAAAATGGAGCGTTACCTAGGCTTAGTTGCGGAGCAGAGATCAAAGCTTCAAGTGTTGTTAGAAACCGCCACTATGTAGGTTATTCATTCCTCGGTGCCCTGAGAATCTAACTTCTCCACTTCCTCTTCTCTCTTGTCTTTTTTGTTTTTTTGCCAGTTACCGGGCTAACGGGTTGTATAGGAAGACGGTAGCAATGATGTCGCAAAAACAAGATGGTACTTGGTCACATTATCCCTAACCCTACTAATTATTTTGTGTACTAATATCCGACATTACTAAAACTACAGAGGGAGAGTTCCGAGAAGTACAGAGAGAGTTCCGAGAAGTACAGAGAGAGTTCCGCGAAGTGCAGAGATGGCTTAATGTCGTTGATCCTGCCACAAATTTTTCATCTGCACTTGCCGTTCGCGAACCCGGTACGGGGAATTGGCTGCTGGAGGCACCTGATTATAAGAACTGGAAGGGAGGTAGTGGGGGCGTTTTCTGGCTTCATGGAATGCGTGAGTCTATGGATGAGTGAAATCTTATGCTCCAGGAAATGTCACTAACATTTGTGTCTTGTAGCTGGATGTGGCAAGAGCGTCCTAAGGTGCGAGCCTAATCGCATGTGCGAAGGTGCAATATAACTTCTTTTACTAACTAGCACTTTAGCGCTACCGTCATTGAAGATATCCAAAGCCTATGCAGCATGAGCGACGATTGTGCATTAGCCTATTTTTACTTTACTTTCAGTGACTCGCAGAAGCAAAATTTGGCCAATATGCTCCTATCTCTCATTGGCCAACTACTCCGAGCGCCTTCCGACCCGGTTTTACCCGATGAGATCATGAAATTGTATCACAACTCCAAGGCGATTGGGACGTCACCAAATATAAAAGATCTGCAAACCGTATTTTCATGCATCGCGAAGCTTTCCAAAAAGGCCTTCATTATTTTAGACGCCGTGGACGAATTCCCCAAGGAGACACGGGGGAGTGTCCTATCTTGGATTAGCGAGCTTAGGGCGAATCACAATGCACAATCCTTGTCCATTCTCGTCACTAGCCGTCCCGAGACAGATATAGTGAGATCCCTAGAACCAGTTACCGCTTTTGCAATATCCCTGCAATCCGAAATTATCGATGCAGATATCCGCGCATATATACAGAATTCTTTAGACGGCAAGGATGGCTTCAAGAAATTTACCAAGGAAATTAGGAGTGAGATAGAGGACACACTCGTTTCTCGTGCACAAGGAATGTATGTTATACTCAATTTTCCAGTCTTTAACTTAGGCTGATACAAGGTTGGATATGTGAAGGTTCCGATGGGTAGATTGCCTTTTACGAATTCTCCAGGAATGCATAACGCCAAAGGCTGTTAGAGGCGCCTTGAATGGACTGCCGAAAGACTTAGATTCTGTCTACTTAAGGATCCTTGAGAGCATTCATGAGACACAGAGGGAATACATTCAGCGTGCGATGCATTGGCTCTCATTTTCGGCGGAACCATTGACCTTAGGCCAACTTGCGGAGGCAGTTGTGATCGAATACGACGTCAACAAGTATGGCGAAGATCCAGAAGCTCTTTTTGAGATAGAGTCCCTCATGAGCATTTGCCCAAGTCTTATTTCCTTCGAAGATGCGAGGGACGATCAATCCTCCCCCCAAGAAAGCCAGCGATTACGACTAGCCCACTTTTCGGTAAAGGAATATTTGATCTCCGACCGGGCAGCTCAGGGCTCCAGCGCCTACTACCATATTTCGGAGGATAAATCCAATTTACTGATGAGCCATGCTTGCCTTAGTCGGATATTGCGACATGGTTCTCAAGTTGCTACATCCGCAGACGAAATCCAACCGACGCCGTTTCTCTATCACAGTGCTGAGTATTGGTTCGTATATATTAAAGCTATCGAAAATATCGCACCCGCAACACTCCCTGACGCTTCTCTAAAAGTCCTGGAGCTGGGCCAAAGGTGGCTAGATATACATAACCCCGATGACCATGACTGGAATAGGCCTCCAAGTTCCAGAGTTTACCCACCAGCAATCTACTATTCCTCATTGTTAAATTTGGTGGTGGCCTGTAAATTGCTAGTCGATAGGAAGGAGGATGCAGTAAACGTGGATGCTCAAGGTGGCTGTTATGGCAATGCACTACAAGCAGCTACAATTCGAGGGAATGAG